TTAAAAGTTATGGTAATAAATTCATTTTTTTTTTATTAAAACTTTCACTTTAAAGAACAAAAAGAAGTAGGTTCAAAATGATTACTTTTAACATATTAAAAATCAATAATAATTTGAAAATAATTAATTATAAAAATTATATAATATATAATTAAAATAATTACTAATCTGGATATAATTAAGGAAATAGGAGTTGATGTTGGGTTGGGTTGGTTACATTTTTAACTTTATAATGCTATAACTCATTGAAAAGTGTACGAATCAACACAATTTTTTTATGAGAAATAATATTTTTTAATAATCCCTTTTTCATTCGACATACTTTATCTTAATCAGGGTATTAATAAGAAACTAGCAGATAATGTAGCTTTTGTAATTATCCACCAATTTCTTAGAATTAAACACTATCTACTGATTTGCATCGAAGCGTTTCTTATGATAGTGATTTTAATCACTGTCAGATTAAATCTATACTGGACCCAACTATGCAACATCCCCACTATGCCGCGACCCCACTGTGCTGGGTTTTTTTTTATAAATTTTTGTAAAAATCAACTATAAAAAACTAAAAAATAGGTTAATCATGATAGATTATTGTCAACTTTTAAAAAATAAAAAAGGATAATAATTTAAGGAAACAATTTATTTTATGTGAAATTACTTATTTTATACTAATTAGAAATAATATTAAAAATTTGAGGTGATAGGAAAAAATTCTATTGCATATTAGAAATCTACGCAAAAAATTGGATTAAAAATGTATATTTTTGTCTTTAATGAAAACTTTATGTTATCCATTGTTGTTATTGTTGACCAAATGTGTAAAAATTATGAAAAAAAAATTACTGCAGCATGGTGACTAAATTAAAATTTATAAAAATGTTAGAACGTGCGGATCCACTCTGTATTTTGTATACAAAATATTGATTACCATAAAAAATTATTTAAGGAATAACTTCAGAAACTATCGGCTTTTGCAAAAATACTTCTCAAAGTTTTGATTGGGGCTAAATAATTTTTAAATTCCCATTTTCCTATTCGTAAAGATGGTAAGTTTTTTTATTTTTTTTCTAATTTTTACTAATTACCAATTATTTTTTGATGGGTGTTTGGAAAAAGTATAAGGGCTAAAGAAGTCCTCCACCATATCTGATTAAATGAATGAGTTGTAAATTTTGAAACGTCACCGAAATAACTTTGGATATGTTTGTAATATTCAGTTTTTGGAAGTGCATAATTTTTTTGTCGTTTCATTATAATGTATGTTACACTTTACGTAATTTAAATTTCTTTAAAACTTCTCTAAATAATTGCAAGTATAGAGTATAAAAAATAAATACTTATTGTCCACATCAATGTACATGGTATTGTGTCCTGAACATTAAAAACACAGATAAGTGGACATCGTTCAGAAAATAAAGCTTTCCGTATACTAACAAGTATTCTGCGNACTCGAAAATTTATTTATTTTTTAATTATTCATATAATTGCGGATCGAAGGACCAGAAATGTTGGTGAGCGGGATTATTAACCGTTAAAATCGAACGCTCAATTAACCTTATTTTTTTGATATAAAATTTTTTAATTTGTTTGATTAATGTAATGAACATTAAATTTAACACGAATAAGTAAAATGTACAAAATATTTGTTCCTTAATTTTATTTATGATTAAAACTTACATGAAAATATTTAAATACAAATGTAACCTTGATTAATATTGGAGCGCGTCGCTGATGGTTCAGCGGTGG